TGTGTGTGTGTCTCTCTCTGTGTGTGTGAGACTGTGTGTGTGTGTGTGTGTGTGCGTGAGACTGTGTGTGTGTATGTGTGTGTGTCTCTCTCTCTGTGTGTGTGTGTGTGTATGTGTGTGTGAGACTCTGTGTGTGTGTGTGTGTGTATATGTGTGTGAGACTCTGTGTGTGTGTGTGTGTGTGTGTGAGACTCTGTGTGTGTGTGTGTCTCTGCGTGTGTGTGTGTGTGTGCATGTTTTCATGTTACTCCAAATCCACCATGTGCCCCAACAGTGCTGTTATTGTGTGGTTGTCTGTGTGTTCTTGTTACCCCAACATCACCTGCTTGTGTCTGCCTGTCTGTCTGTCTGTTTGTATACAACTACCCATCTGTCTGTTTGTCTGTCTATCTCGATAGATTAGGTACGTAGGCATGGATAGTTAGATGCAGATAGATGTAGGTAAATAGGTAGACCGTTGGCAAACAGTTGGCACACAACTGTTTGGTACACAGTTATTAGGACAGTTGGTGGACAGTTAGCAGACAGTTGACCCACAACCGTTGGCAGACAGTTGGCACACAACTGTTTGGTACGCAGTTATTAAGACAGTTATCAGACAGTTGTAGGCATTTGGCAGACAGTTGACCCCACAACCGTTGGCACACAGTTGAGCAGGCTGTGGACAGACAGTTGGGCAGGCAGTTGCTGACATGACAGGTGGACAGTCAGTCGGTTTCAAGCCACATGGTTGATGGGACAGTTAAAATCAGTACGTCGGTTGTTAGTCAGTTGTGAGACAGTTGGAAGGCAGTTGGTGGGCAGTTAGCAGGCAATCAGGCAGATGATGTGGTGGCAGACACTTTATGGGCACTTAGTAAAAAAAATGTAGTTACCGCAGGCACACACATTATTGTTGGTGGTCAGGACACTAGTAATATATATATATATATATAGGTGGGTTGGCAGTTGGCAAAAAGTCAAGTCAATACACAGTTCAGAGGCAGTTGGCTGACAGATCGGAGACAGTTGGCCAAACAGTTGCCTGACTGTTGAAAAACAATTCGTGGTAGGTCGTTGGGAGGAAGTTGATGAACACAGCTAGCAGACAGTTAGGAACACGCGCTGAATTTAACTGGCATGGCCACACCGAGGCATGGATCCATCCGGATGGGAGTGTGGGCTACACAGCAGCCTGGCTCCTGTGCAGCAGGGGCCAGCAGCCTTCTTTCTGGTATCAAGGATCCAGTACTATCGGTGGCAGCACAGCGCAGGAAGAGGACACGATGCTGCCCAGACATTGCTTCACAGGGAGGAGGGGCCTGTGTGTAGTATGAGAAATGTTAGTCTGAAGCACTGCTGCTGCTGCGGGTGATTGTGATGATGATGTTGAGACATTTAGTCAGCTACAGACTGTAGTCCTTTGCCCTGTAGCTGCGATGTGCACATATGATGGCAGCACTGCATGAGCATATGAGCATGTGTATGTGTGGGTGGCCAG